GTCTGGGCCTCCCTTCTGAAGCTGCTGACCCCGCGACCCGACCCCGGATAGGCGGAAGAAAATGGATGGATGGATGAAATAAAAGGAAAAAAGTCACAACAAAATAAATAAACTATAATGAAAAATCCAGAACATTTATAACTTTGGCACTCACTGCTCGATATGATCAGGAAGTTCCCTGTTCAGAAGGTTTTCCTTGTTTTATATCTGGATAAATGCATTTGTTGTCACTCACTCAGCATCAGCAGCACTCGTTGAACCTCTCCTTGCTTGGCRGCAGGGTAGAGCTGTCGAGGGTGGAACCTCAGTTTCTTCCTCCTGGTTGATCAAAACCAAACACTCGCTCATAAAAACTGAAATATAGTTTTCCAAAGAGAGTGATTGAATGTTTTTGTGACCTCTCCGTTTCCTGTGTGAGGATTGCCTTCTGCAGTGCCGCCCTGCTGGGCCCGGGTGGAAGCGCGCTGGGGCTGACCGGTTTCCCGTTGGGCATGCAGACCGACGGTCCCACGCTGTCCACCCCCTCCTCTGCCGGGGGGGCGGCGGCTACAGTCACTGCTGAGGCTACGGGCTGTGGAGGCTGCTGCTGCTCCACCGCCGGTGTTTCCAAACCGTGGCTGCGCATCCGAGCGCTGAAACAACAAAGTATTTAAACTTATTTTTAAAGTCATCATCGCCCACATCTTTGATTAATGTCCGGTTTTATCTTCCAACCTGACGGGTCTTTCAGGCATCTTCCCATCCTTCATCCCTCCCGTCGAGGCAGCGACGGACGGAGCCGTGGGGGCGGACGGCGGCAGAGAGGGCGTGGTCGTGGACGAGGCCGACATGGTGACGACGGTGGCCGCAGAGGAAGAGGAGGCCGAGGAGGGGATGGCGATCTCCTGCGCCTCCGAGGCGTCCTCACCACAGTGGGGACAGAAAAGCAGGCCGCCGCCGTTGGCCCGGCTGCGCCCGCCGCTCAGCACCGTCACGCAGCCGCGGTGGAAGCGGTGGGTGATGCGCTCGTCCGGGCAGCACTCCAGAAACGTGCCCTGGAAGAGGAGGAGAGTGAAAACTGAAACATAAATAAGATGCTACAGCCGGTCCGCGTGGGTTTTCACTCACCGCGAGGCAGAAGTACCCACACCCGGGACAACAGTGGTGTTTCACCATGTGGGAGCGATGGACGTCGCACAGAACCATGAGGGGAACCCGGCTGGACGGACGCATGGTTTCCCCTTTCATGGTCCAGCTGGTGCAGGGTCGCAGCTGGAGAGCAGAACACTGGTTAGAAACGTCCCAGGATGTTCTGATGTAAATATGTTCAGTTCAAGGGGAGATTTTTAGCTTTAGCTTTTTGCTACATGAAGCTAACAACCTGCTACTTTTAACCTCTAGCTCAGGTTTGCTGATTTTAGCTAGCATTTGTAGTGATTTCCTGCATATAATTATCAGTTTTGACTATATTTCTTAACTTGTTCCTATGACTGCTCAGAGAAAGGAAGAAAACCCCCACTTTAAATTCAGACTATTTCTAAAGACTTTTGCATGGAACTTCCTTTGTGACTCAAATTAACATCTCTTACACAAACCCCCACCAGACGTCTTGACACCTTACTGTTAATAGATAAGAATCGCCACATTCCTGTTCCGAACCCCACAAGTTCTGTTGCTTCCATCCCCCATAAGCACAGGACTGTCTGTTCGCTCCTCTTCAAAGGGATCATAAATGCCTTTAACCAGACTCTTCGGCGTGACTGAGAACAAAGGACCTACATTCTTCTTTAAATGTGAAAAAAATGGAGAAAAGATAAAGAATCTGTGTATCTAATGTTTCTGTCTTATTGCAAAAAATGTCATCTAATCCATTTTTCTTACAGGAAAGAACTAAAACGACCATAAAGGATCTACTAAGTTTTGCTTAGTTAACTATTTAATACCTGTGTGTATTGTGGTGTTAATTGTTTTGATGAAATGTTTCCCTGAAGAAGATGTGTGTTTTATTCCATGATTTAATCCTTAAAAACTTTAGGACTTGAATCTTTAATAATTAAGTGTGACACTTATTTTACTGAGGCAAGCAGATGTCTCAACCTTTAATTAGATGCGAGATAATTAAACTAAAACACTCTCTTTTTCTTTGTCCGAAGTAAAGTTTTCCCTCCAAAACAGATTTGATTTGTTAAAAAAAACTTTTCCTGTATAAGGTGTAACATTTTTATTGGCCAACTAAAAACTTGACTCCGCCCATAACAGAGGTTTTAAAAAGCTTAGCGCACTCCCAATCTCTTAGAAGAAGTAGCAGAAGAAGACCGACAGAGAAAG